AAAGAATTCGCACAAATCGTCCAAAAATAACGCATGCATATTTATTGAATGGAGAATTTCGGCCAATATGTATACATGTTTATGTATACATATTTCTCGTGATTTTTCGCTACATGTAAATATAAATGATAATCTTTTTAAATTAGCTGGCTTTTCTCTTATACGAAGTAAATAATGTAGGAATGATGCATAATTATCATTATTTTTTTTACAATATTACATTTACGAGACTTTTAGATTATTTACATCAAATTGATTTTTAAGGTAATGTTATGGTACATTATGAGATATTTTGTTGATGAACACAGTCAGAAATCTTTTTAAATGGTTGACATATTCTTTTTTAATTACCGTCAGATGGAATGTTAAATACTAGTAGTTCCCTATGTCAAGGTTTACAACTTTGTGTCCATGTATTTTGCATGCAACAGATATAGATTTCCCGCCGATAATGGCTGAAATCTTCGCGACTCGGCGTTAAGCAAAAATCAATCAATCAATGATCTGCATACTGCTTAAAATGATATTCTATTAATTTTACATATTCATTTTTGTACATTATGGATAATAGAAATTTGATATAAAAAAAACGAACGGGTTTTTATTGGGAAAGGGGGGAGGGGGTTATAATGAAGGCAAAGTAGAATGTGGCTGCAGTAGAAACAGTTATATGAAAAAATCCTAATAAAATGAGCCACTCTGAGACACAAGGCTACATGTATGTATCACACCACGCAGGTTTGATTTCACGTTATCATTATATACAAAATGATGTGATTTTTTTTTCAATTTAACTTAAGAATAAATATCGTAGCATGATTTTAGTCGTGATTTTATTGGCTGCATGGTTCATGTATTTTCTGTAAGAATCGAGGTATTTCTGAGATCGACCCCCTGTAAATTTGGACTCGATCGCATTGGTTTCTTTTTCCTTTACATTGGGATTACGTAAAATCAAACAAAGTGTGTTATAATAACCAACTTGCATGCTTTGAGGATACAGGCTTTATCAAACGTTAAATCAGCATACATGTAGATCTATATTTTGTTAATTGAAAGTTCAGTTGTTCATAGAGACGAATTTGTCGGTATGAAAGACAGAAAAATAGAAATCAAAAATCATTTGGGGGGGGGGGTATTCAGTTTTTAAAGGATCTAAAATACAGTTAACACAGTTTTGGGGATTGTAGATTATGATCAACTATTTTTTCATTAATTAAGCATTTTGTTTAACTTAGACAGGATGACAACTTTGATTGCTAAGCGATGACAGGTGCCCCAACTTCAAACATCATGTAAACCATGACGTCACAATTGAATCGTGAAAAAACTACGATATGCTCAGAGTTAATTTTGCAGACATACCAATTTCAAAATGTAATAACTTTGTTATAAATGCAGATATTTTTATTCTGTTTTCAGTTTTTGTCGTGATTTTACATGGACCACCAAAATACACAAAAATCTCAAATTCGATAAATTTTGCCATAAGGTCGATTTCTATCCGACGAGGCTCATATATTGTTGCAAATCGTTAAGATGAACATCTTACCTTCTGTTATGTATCACAAAATATTGATCATTAGAGTCAGAGCCTCTGAGGCCCAAATTTGAGTAGTCAACCCCTTTTTCTTAATATCAAATGAAAGGTCTTGTGATTTCAAAGACTTTTTGTTCAACAACTATTTGGAGAGTTCTTTTCGTTGTGGTGTTCTGCCGAATGGAAATATTTAGGGGCCACCCCTATAAGTCCATAATGGGGCCATTTTACAAAAATTCAAATTATGCATATTGTTTAGAACATTATTCTGACCCTCTTTTGTTCAATATTGCTTATTAAAATTTTCCCCCCTTTTAGAGATATGAAGCGTCAGGGATTTAGCATTTTTGGTCCCTTGTGACCCCTAATTACGATACATACGATTAAAATTTTATAATATATTGTTGCAAATCGTTAAGATAAACATCTTACCTTCTGTAATGTATCACAAAATATTGATCATTGAAGAGTTTAAGATGAAAGATTTCTGGCCCTCTAAGCCCCTTTTTCTTGATATCAAACGAAAGGTCTTGTGATTTCAAGACTTTTTGTTCAACAACTATTTGAAGAGTTCTTTTCGTTGTGGTGATATGCTGAATGTAAATTATTAGGGGCCACCCCTATAAGACCTTAATGGGGCCATTTTACAAAAATTCAAAGTATGCATTTGGTTCAGAACATTATCCTGCCTATCATTAGTTCAATATTGCATATCAAAATTGTCCCCATTTTGGAGTTATGAAGCGTCAAAGATTTTGCATTCTGGCCCCTTGTGACCACTTATTACAATACATAATTATGATCAAAATTTTTTAATATTTTGTTGCAAATCGTTAAAATGAATATCTTAGCTTCAGTAATCTTTCACAAAATATTGATCATGAAAGAGTCAGAGATGAAAGACTTGTAGCCCCTCTGAGGCCCTAATTTAAGGAGTCAGCCCCTTTTTCTCTTGATATCAAATGAAAGGTCTTGTGATTTCAAAGACTTTTTGTTCAATAACATTTTGAGTGTTCTTTTCATTAAATTTGGAGTTATGCCGAATAGAAATATTTAGTGGCCACCCCTACAAGTCCTTTATGGGGCCATTTTACAAAACGTTAAAGTATACATATTATTTCAAACATTCTGACCCTCTTTTGACCAATAATGCTTATTTAAATTTCTCCCCTTAACGAGAAATGAAGCGTCAGGGATTTAGCATTTTTGGTCCCTTGTGACCCTTTATTACGTAACATTAAAGAATTTAAGATGAAAGACTTCTGGCCCCTCTGAGCCTCGAATTAGAGGAATCAGCCCTTTTCTTGATATCAAACGAAAGGTCTTGCGATTTCAAAGACTTTTTGTTAAACACCTATTCAAAGATTTCTTTTCGTTGTGGAGATATGCTGAATATAAATTATTAGGGGCCTCCCCTACAAGACCTTAATGGGGCCATTTTACAAAAATTCAAAGTATGCATATTGTTTAGAACATTATTCTGACCATCTTTAGTTCAATATTGCTTATCAAATTTCCCCCCTTTTCGAGATATTTTGCATTCTGGCCCCTTGTGACCCCTTATTACGTAACATACGATCAAAATATTTTCATATTTTGTTGCAAATCGTTAAGATGAATATCTTAGCTTCTGTAATGTATCACAAAATATTGATCATTAAAGAGTTAGAAATGAAAGACTTCTGTCAGTCAATTTTGATGAAATGTCTGTTTCCGAAATATAGTTTGTGATTTCCTCCTTTTTAGGGTGTTTAGATGTATACAGATTTTTCACAAAATTACAAGGTGATCCTAAAATTCCATTATATTTATATGAAGTTTTTCCCTCTTCAGTTATTTTTTTTTCAATTACATATTACTTTGTTGCCGTTTATGTTTTAAATGCAAGAAATATGGTGTACATTTCTCACCATATTTGATCCAATAAGCTCTAGTTTTGATGTATGCACCTTGTGATTTTCTCTCATAAATCTCGTTTAATTCTTTTTCAAGTTTTTGTTTTTCTTGGTTATTTATTTCATGAAAGGGTCGATTTTTAATGTCTTTGATTTTTCTTTCTATCATTTTCATTTCTATCTATCATTTTAACTTTTTGTTTCAAGCTGCTCCTTTTTTGCTTTGAGAATCCTATTGAAAATTCTTTTATTAAGTATTTCAAAGTCCCTTTTTCTTAATATCTAATAAAAGGACTTTTGATTTTTGTTCAACATCTATTTACAGATCTCTTTCCGTTTTGGAGATATATTGAATGGATATATTTTAGGCCACTCTTACAAGTCCTTACTCGGGCCATTTTTCAAAAATAAAAAAAAAATTAAAAAATGCATATTGATTAGAATATTAATTTGATCATTTTTTTGTAATGTACTAGCATTTCATCCTTCGCGGCTACTGAATCAAAGATATAGACTGTTTTCTAATAACGATTTAAAAAATCACTTCTCATGAATTGATGAAATGCATGTTAATCATTCAGACTTAGCAACCATCCAGACGTGTAAGATTAAGATATTCATTTCTCTAACTCTGTGTGCTTGTCATGACGGTTACCATTAATGCATCGTGGTAACTGTAATATGTTGGTATTTTTTTAATTTCTGCTTGTAAAGATGTTGACAAATACACATGATCAAGAATAGTTGCCCCCTCTGTTGTATTGAAATCAACAATTTGCTTGAAAGCTTGATTACTCATAAAAGTTTGAATAGACCCTGTATGTCTGGCATCCTCATTGAAGTCTCCAAGACAAACGCATAACTTTCTCTGAGACATGTAATAAGTGATCACTTTTTCAAATTGTACTAAGAACTGGGAGACATCCAATGCCTGTGGCCGATAGACAGTTAAAACTACTATATCTTGTGACACACATTTCACACAGACCCCCTCAACATTCTTAACAGGAAGCAAACAGACGATTTTCTCCTGTTCCGTTTCTTTGACATAAACAGCAACACCTCCACCCTTTGATGCACGCAACTTCAAAACCTGATCATTGCTCTCATCATACACATCTTCTCTAATTGCTTGGTGAAACTTGAAGCCATTTATTTCGAACATACTTGCGTTATGTCCGGATCGCAACCAAGTCTCTGTAAGACAGATGATATCTGCATTTCTACAACGGTTATCGCTGAACAGATCTGCAAAATGTTTATTGAGACTTTGAATGTTGTGAAGATATATTGTGATGCCTTCCCTTAAAATACAAAAGTTTGGTAGGATTAATCTAGACATTCCTTGCAACGCTGCTTTGACCTCTGGGTCAGCATATATCTTTCTCTGTATGGATTCCTGTTCTTTTGTTTCAATAAATAATCCTTCTTTTGACGTAACTCTGCTCAACGCAACATAGGCTTGACCAGGAGAAAATGTCCGATCTAAGTTCACTACAACTTTATCAACTGTCATGCCTTGTACTTTGTGAGCTGTACATGCCCAAGATAATCTTAATGGAAACTCAGTGATGCCGCACTACATTCTTTGTTTTCTGTTCTAAGATCTCCTCTTGAACTCTTTCAATTAGAACAATATTTCCATTTTTCGTTTTAGTTGCAGACTTCTTTCCAACATTTGTATTGTCAAATATAACTCCAATAGCAATAACAGATTTTGCCACATCCATTTGACCATATACAAAATGAGATATATGCCCCATAACTCCATTCACAAGACCATCCTCTACATTGCAGTTCGTTGTGAGCATAACTCTTGCACCAACTCCCAATAATAAACTGCTAGAGAGATTGTCTGTTTTCGACCTTGTTAATGCTTTTCCTCTTAATATAAGCTTGCCTGATGTTCTATCTTTCAGAAAATCTTTCGCATCAATCTCAACAAGATCTTTACAAGATCTTCTTAGCATTGTCAAGTTATATGCATTAACTTCGTCATTTGTTGCATAGACGTGCAGAACATCCTCTGGTCCTTCTTTTACACAGTCGTTTAGGATAGTACGTGTTTCTTCTTCAAGTGGATCGTTTGCTACTCTACTCCGGAGTGAATTCAGTGCTGTTGCAAATGGAATGTCTTCACGTTGTCTCATAATTTCAGATAATTCCACTACTTTGAAAAAGTCTAACCAATAGTCAACGGGATAGAGAGCATTATCCTTATACAGTCTTTCCTCTTTTCTTTGTTTCACAGGAGGTAGCTGGTAGAAATCTCCCACAGCAATCACTGATATTCCTCCAAATGGTTCTTTGCATTTTTTAATCTGTACAAGTCTTTCGTGAACATAGTACAATAATCTTTTATACACCATTGAAATTTCATCAATAACCAAAATTTGCAGATCACAAAGTTGAACTCTCATTTCACTTAGACTCTGTTCTTTTAATGGTTCGTATGGCAAAGGCATATATTTTGGCAGTGAAAATAAATGGTGGATAGTATTCCCTCCAATGTTAAATGCAGCTGTTCCAGTAAACGCAGCAAGTGCCACTGATATACTGTTGGGAGAAGTCACGTTTTTCCCTAGTATTCGTGATGCTTCACAATTTATGGCTTTGATAAGATGGCTCTTGCCTGTTCCTGCTCCACCTGTTATGAATATATGAAGAGCATCAGACTTCTCTCCAAAGACTTTCTTCAGACACCACTCTCGAACTAAATAAAATACCTTTATTTGTGTCTCATTCAAAGAATTTTGTTCAGTTGATATGATATTACGCCCTCAAATTTACAAAAAAATTAACTGTACTCTTGAAAAATAAATTTTAGCTAAAACATATCTTGAATATATGAGCGATTTTAATCTAGAAAAGAATTTTACCGATATTGCCCAGAAATACTAATTATGATGCGAGATTTTTCGGCGGAATTAAAATTTCCGGAAAAAAATTGTAATTTTCGTCATTCAGTTTAACATTTTACCGGGTGCGCATGAATTTACCAACTTCTTACTTGGCAAACAAATAAAACTGTATGGGTGCGACTTCCATGCCAAAAATCACGATGGTAAAATTATGCGCACTATGTTAATTTCTTAAAAATACCCATTTTTGAGTTGCTTCCCTTTCGTTGTACGTAAACAGTATGACGTCACCGGAGTGAAAAAACGCAGACGAATGATCGAGCTGTCAAAGTTTTGTTTGGAGATATCCAGGACTGTTAATTTAATCTAGGTAAGTTCAAATACATAGAATAGCTGTGTCATGAAAAAGAACAACATTTTAACAAGTAACCCTAACCCTTTTCCCGATTCTCATGCACATTTAGGCTAGAGACTAAGAGAGTAAGAGGCGCACGGATTAAACAATCATGAGATTGCAAACATTCGTGTCCTATGGCTACACTCGTTATATAGCACAGTTTAATACAGTTTGTTTCAAGTTAACACATATTTTTAAAGATCCGAGTATAGTCCAGGGTACATATGCCAACTTTTTATTATTTATGGGCCTGGTAATAGAGCTACCACTATCATTACTGTAGGTCATGTATTAGGCTATATTGTCGTCAGCTGTAAAGTCGTGCACTTAATCACAGTTGATCAATCGTCATAAACAATTTTTATTAACGATACCTTTCCCTTATAACAGATGTATTAGTCTATTAGAGGAATATATAACGCTCTTTCGAGAATTTCGCATACTCTCATTTTTTTTTATTGGAAAGTACCTGTTACTATAAATAGCTTTACTTGGCGCACTTAGTCAAGACAAACACGTTTATTGGATTTTAGGACAAATAAATATGTGGAACTGTTTATACTGTTTTCAAGTAAAAATAAATAAATAAATGCTTTAATTCAGGCTATGAATTCACAGAATTATTACATTCATGCATGAGTTTTTTTTTTTTTGTTTAGTTATGATTAGGTAGATCTAGAAAAGTTACTGGTGAATTCAAATTACTGAGCCATTGACCCCTGGTAAATATGTAGGTGAGGTGAATACAGGGAAGTTTAACAATCATGGGAATTTATGCATGATTAAATAATGTTATACCAGGGTAAAATTCCAATAAGGAATTTTTTTTACATTAGATTATATATATGCTAACTGAAAAAAATCACTAAAATAAAAATCATCTTTTCATTGACAATTAATTAAGAACTGTTAAGCAATTCATGATGTTAAAGACAATTTTGGAAATTGCAGATTCAAGTGTATTCAAATCATGATCATCACCTGGGAAAGAAATGCATGACTAGCTGCTGCAACAGGGTATCAAAGTTTTACCTTGGAATTAGAAAAGAACTTACTCTACGGTAGGTCAATACTGATAGATTGATAGTCAGGTACACTTTAGCTCACCAGAGCTGAAAGCTCAACATAGCGTCAGAAGCAAATTGAAAGTTGGGGGGGGGGATAAATGAAAGGGGGGCTAAACTAACAAAAAAAGGTAAACCCCAATGTTTGATCGACGATACATAGAAAATGTCTATCTTTGCAAAAATGGAGGGGGGGGGGGGGGGCTAAGCCCCACCCTAGCACCCTAATTCTGATGCCTATATATATATATGCTCAAGTTAGCTTTTCTGATCACCTGTTGTCTGTTTGTTATCCGTCTGTCTGTTTCTATCTTCTCAACAACCATTGGGTCAATTTAAACTAACTTAGGTTGGTACAAAGTTTCCTTGTTTGAAGGGATCGAGCTAGTGTAATTTGTTCAAATGTTTTTGAGGAGCGCCTCCCCCCATTCCTAGGGGAGATAATAAAGAATAGAGAAAAATAAGGTTGATTCATTAAGAAATCTCCAGAACAACTGATCCATAAAACAATGAAACTTACAAAAAATAACACACTTTTCATTTTAAGTGTTTGTTTAAGCTCATAGTCCATCCATCTGTTTTTACATCTGCCTGTTTATTCAACTTTTAACATTTATATTCATTTTAATATAAAAGGCATTTTTATGTATTGCAGATTTTAGTTTATTCAATTCATGGCAATATAACCTGGGATAAAATGACTGACACAAATGGGTATCAAAGTTTTACGTCAAAGGAATAAGAAAAGAACTCCAAGGTATGTCACTACAATCATGTACTAGAGTGATGTCTGATAATGACCGGTACATTTAAGCTAATAATTCACCTATCCTCAAAACTTTCCATTGAAATATAAAAGAAAAATCATTAAAAGTCATCTACTTAATTCATGCCTGGACAGAAAAGCTGAAACATATTAATATGTTGAAGCATCCTAGGGTAGTGGTTGAGGCTATTGTTTTATGTTAGCTCACCTGAGTCTTTAAGTGACCTTTTTCTGATCACAGTAATGACTTTTCAAGCTTTTATCTCACTGTCCCATCCATCTAAGCTGTCTCAGTACTCCTGCCTGTTAACTTTTGATATTTATAATAAATATAAAAGGCATTCTTGTTTATTGCAGAGTCTTGGTTATTCACTTCATGCCATAACCCTGGACTTTAAGAATGACTGGCTACAACAGGGTATCAAAGTTTTACCAAGGAGAAAAAAACTCATGCAACTTTGAGATACATGTAATATTAGGTAGGTAAATTACTCAAACTAATAGAGCATACGTGATATGTTTCTGCTAGGAATAAGGGAAACTGTCCAATTACGTATGCAATTAAGCTATGTCCCAACCCACCAAGATGCTATGCACTTTTATTTTTAAGTTATTATTATTATGCTGTCTGTTTTCATCTATCGCCTGACGGTCCATCAAGTGTTAACATTTGAGCATTTTCAGCTTCCTCCCTGCAACTGCTAAACCAAATTCAACCAATTTTGACACAAAGCATCCTTGGGTGAAGGGGAATAAAATATGTAAATTTCATGGTCCCTACCGCCTTGGGGCCTAAGGGGTGGGGCTAAATCACTCAAATTAATACAATCTCTAAAATTCTTCTTCTTTACTCCAGGAATCAAGAAGTCAAACTGTTGGCAGTATTGTAATTACATGTAGCATTGAGTCCTCTACCAAAACTGTGAAATTCATGGCCCCAGGGTCAGAGGTTCTAGTGAGCACTAGGTTGAGGCTAAATAGATTATATCGTGAAATGCCTTTATTTTTTGAAAATTTTCTTCTCTGATCCTGGGTATGAAATAAACTAACCAAGAACATAGGTTAGTAACGTAGATTAAGGCTGCCTCTTCAAAAATTGGGAAATTCATGGCCCCAGGGTCAAGGGTTTTTAAGTGTTAGGGTGGGGGTGGGGGGGTTATTGATAATATATATAATGAAAATACATTAGCTCTTTGAGAATCTTCTTCTCTGCTCCGGGGTACGTATTATACAAAATTAAACGAAGTACATAGTTATAATGAGTGAAAACAGCTCTTCTAAAAATTGTGAATTACATGGCCCAGGGTCAGGAGTTCTGGTGTAAGGGTGAAGCTCTATTGACTGTAGAGTGAAAATGCATAATTTATTTAAAAATATACTCCTCTGCTTCTGGGTATTAAACCAATGAACTAAGTACATAGTTACATGTATGCCATCATTAGGAATTAAGGGTGCTTATTTCCAATTTGTGAATTTCAGGGCCCCTTGATCAGGAGTGGTAACAGGACGGGGCTCTATTGATTATATAGTGAAAATGCATGAATTCATTGAAAATCTGTTCCTATGCTCATGGGTATTGATGATAGCATATATTAATATGATGAAGAAAGGTGCCTCTTTCAAAATGGTTAATTTCAGGGCCCCTGGGTCATGGGTACCGGGAGGGGGAAGCAGAGTGATGCAGTTCTTTACCAGATATCCCCTTCTTGTTATACCTATTGTGGCCCCCTACCCCCTCTCCTGTTATGATTTTAATACTCTAGAATCTACACTACCCCATGATGCTTCCAAGTCAAAAGTGTCATAAAATCAGACCTGTTTACTCTTATGATTTCGCTGTATTTTTTACGGATTTTTGGTCCAAAATACGTCTCACGTTTTGCCGTTATGAAAATACGGAAATTGAAAATACGTTCCTTTACCATTTAGCACATAGTGTTTATTATGATCTCTCTTAGTTTCACACTTTTTAATTTCTTAAAAGAGGAAGATTTCTAACACATGAGCGATGTCGGGTTGCCAAAACGATGAGGTATTATAAAAGGTCAAAGACAATGTTGTTTAACCATGTTTTTGTAATTAGAAGAGCAGTTGTTCTCTATTAATACATGAAAAATCGATGAAAAGTGACATCTTAATGGCAAATGCCAAATTTCACAGACAAATCTACTCAAAAATACTGAGAGACAGTGAAATGGGTAAACACCTGGTCTGTAAAATTCTTTTCTGGTCCAGTAGTTCTTGAGAAAAAGATTTTTTTTTTTCTATATATTTCTATGTAAAACTTGGATTCCATATTGTGACCCCACCCTACCCCTGAGGGTAATGATTTTTATAATATAGAATATAGTACACTATCCCATGGTGCTTCCAAATAGGTTTCAGTTTTTCTGGCCCAGTGGTTCTTGCAGGAGATGATTTTTTAAAATGACCCCACCCTATTTCTTTTCTTGATTATCTCCCCTTGTGAGGGGACTAGGCCCAGTGGTTTTTGAGATTAGTTGAAAATGTCAAAAGTTTACGGACGACATGCAGATGATATAGTGTGATCAGCTTTCAGCTCAGATGAGCTATAAAGTCTAAGTATCAAGAATTACGACAAGTCAAATTGACTTGACATGGAGTTGCTGTGGCCCATGGGCTATACAATCTTGGATTATATATTTTGTCATAAAAGCTTGTACATCTGCTTAAATGTGTGTTTAAATGCTGGTACTTTTAATTGTTGCATGTAATTAAAATGACACATAAATTGAATTGCTGCATATTATATTTCAGCAGCATGTCTGAGGTGAGAAAAAGAGATTATCCTTGTGTTTGCTGTAAGAAACGGACAAATCAGAGAGATCGACGTAGAGTGACAGCTGCACAACGACAAGTTCTCCAGAAGTGGACTGTACGTGATGTAGATAAAGATGAGGTGTTATGTAGCTTATGTCGGATGAAGATCTATTCTCATCTAAAGCGGAAGACAGAAAAACGACAAAACTTGGAGAATGACTTAAAAGACACTTCCTTCTCTCCTCCTCAGCAGAAGCAAGTTAGTGTTAGGAATGCTGCAATTCACAGTCCTCCGTCTGTAACACTGTCCGTGCCCTCCACATCTTCCAGTCATTCCAGCTGCTTCATCTGCAGAAAACCTGGACCAAAGTTGGTTGTGGTGTCATCAAATGAGCGTCACTCTGTTTTCTTACGACAGGGAGTATTGATTCCATCAGGCTCAAGATGCTGCACACGTCATATCCCAGATGGAAGATTCACTGAAGAAGCACTTGAAAAAATATCTGCATTTTCAGCAACATCAACACTCAACAGGACTTCCATTGTTGATATGCTCATGTACCTTAGAGAGATTGCCTTGCTAAATGGAGGAAAAAGAATTGACTTTGATGACCCAAGTGCACTGAGTGAAAAAGAGTATGTCAGCCTCACTGGAATCAGCAAAGTTTCCTTCGATGATTTATTATCAGCAGTAGATGGCAAGGTAAAGAACACATCCACCCGTAGTGTAAGAACCAGTCTTGGAATTTTTCTTCTAAAGATGAAATCTGGTCTGTCCAATGAAATGCTGTCAACAATATTAAATGTTTCCAAGTCCAGCATTCATAGAGCCATTGCAGTAGTGAGGAGGACACTTATGGAGACATTTGTACCAAAGAATGTCGGATTTCAGCACATCTCCAGAGAAGATGTTATCCAGAAGCATACCAGACCATTAGCTGAGTCTCTTTTTGGTGGTACTGGAACCCAAGCTCTTCTTGTTTTAGATGGCACATACATTTATATTCAAAAAAGTATGAACTTTGCCTTCCAAAGAAAGACATATAGTTTACATAAGGGTCGTCCACTGGTGAAGCCAATGATTGTAGTTACAACTAGCGGCTATTTCCTGTCCGTTCTAGGACCATACATAGCAAAGAACAACGATGCAGCAATATTGAACCACATCATGAAAACTAACAAAGAAGATGTGCTGCAGTGGGTTGAAGAGAACGATGTGTTTATTGTTGACAGAGGCTTCAGAGATTCCTTGACCTTACTTGAGGACCTTGGCTTGTTATCTGCCATGCCTGCTTTTATGAAGAAAGGTGAAAAGCAAATGTCAACAGAGGATGCAAATACCAGCCGTTTAGTGACAAAGGTATGTATGCCACACAATTCTAGTTAAGAAATGATCAGTTTTGATAGATGAATGATTTAATTAGTTTTATTTGATATATTCACTTTCAATTGAACTCTTTATTATTTATGTTACAGATACGCTGGGTAGTAGAATCAGCAAATGCTCGCATAAAAAGGTGGAAGTTCTTTGATCGCATCCTTCCTTCATCCCAGGTGCCATTCATTAGTGACTACATCAAGATTGTGTGCGGAATTTCAAACAAGTACTTTCCACCTTTGTCAACAGGTATGTTCATATGCTTGGTAAATGATAAGCATTTATTTTGTTTCATTTTATACATTATTTTGTGTATCATATACAGAGTGTTAAGTTTCTTGTTAATACAATTTCATGAATTATCTTTAGGTTGCACTGAGGAAGACGCCATTGTGGCAGCTAAGATGCAGTACCTTTCCAGACAAATCAACCACCTGAAGGAGGAAGTAGAAGAAAAGAAGCTGGATTCTCGCTCTGCCACATGGAAACATCCTGATGAGCTTCAGGATTTTCCTCGTCTTGATGAAGATCAACTTCGTGAGTTGACCTGTGGCACATATCAAGTGAAGCTTTCCAGTAGTTATGCAGAGGAACACTTTGGGAATGGAAGTGATATCATGGTTCATAAGGAAGACCAGTCCTTGATTAGAGTCAGGATCAGAAGTCGGCATGTTTCCTCCAAGTCTTACCTTCTTTGGATTCGATATGATGAGGCAAGCGTGATTGGATGGTATTGCAAATGCCGTGCTGGTGCAAGAGTTGTTGGTATGTGTGCCCACATTGCCGCAGTGATATGGTATCTTGGATTTGGACGCCATATGGAGTCTTTCAGGTCTGTAAGGGACTGGAGCAAGTTCATTGATGATGCAGCTGTCATTCCAGATGCAATTGATGAGTCTGAATCAGAGGACGATTCCTCAGACTGTTTAGAAGAATGAAAAGTATTGACTGATCTTCATAGATATGCAAGTTAACTACATTGTATGTATATACAACCTGCATTATATATGATGTGATCTATCAAGTTATTCTTTAATGTTCTATAGTCATTTTTGTACAAACAGAACTTGTATTAATCTTGATTCATTCATGAATATTGTTGGGAAATATCATGTTTGAGTGTATTAACTCGGAGGCGGTAATAGGCCGCTCATCATGTATATTTATGTAAGTATTATGTTCAAGTGAAATATCATGTTTGAGTATTTTATCTCGGAGGCGGTAATAGGCCGCTCATCATGTATATTTTTGTATCTATTATATAGTGAAATGAAGTGAAATACCGCTCATCATGTATATTTATGTATCTATTATATTCAAGTGAAATACATGTATCATGTTTGAGTGTATTATTCAAGTGAAATATCATGTTTGAGGTCGGAGGCGGTAATAGGCCGCTCATCATGTATATTTATGTATCTATTATATTCAAGTGAAATACATGTATCATGTTTGAGTGTATTATCTCGGAGGCGGTAATAGGCCGCTCATCATGTATATTTATGTATCTATTATATTCAAGTGAAATATCATGTTTGAGTGTATTAACTCGGAGGCGGTAATAGGCCGCTCATCATGTATATTTATGTATCTATTATATTCAAGTGAAATATCATGTTTGAGTGTATTAACTCGGAGGCGGTAATAGGCCGCTCATCATGTATATTTATGTATCTATTATATTCAAGTGAAATACATGTATCATGTTTGAGTGTATTAACTCGGAGGCGGTAATAGGCCGCTCATCATGTATATTTATATATCTATTATATTCAAGTGAAATATCATGTTTGATAGTGTATCATGTTTGAGTGTATTACTCGGAGGCGGTAATAGGCCGCTCATCATGTATATTTATGTATCTATTATATTCAAGTGAAATATCATGTATCATGTTTGAGTGTATTATCTCGGAGGCGGTAATAGGCCGCTCATCATGTATATTTATGTATCTATTATATTCAAGTGAAATACATGTATCATGTTTGAGTGTATTATCTCGGAGGCGGTAATAGGCCGCTCATCATGTATATTTATGTATCTATTATATTCAAGTGAAATATCATGTTTGAGTGTATTATCTCGGAGGCGGTAATAGGCCGCTCATCATGTATATTTATGTATCTATTATATTCAAGTGAAATATCATGTTTGAGTGTATTATCTCGGAGGCGGTAATAGGCCGCTCATCATGTATATTTATGTATCTATTATATTCAAGTGAAATATCATGTTTGAGTGTATTATCTCGGAGGCGGTAATAGGCCGCTCATCATGTATATTTATGTATCTATTATATTCAAGTGAAATATCATGTATCATGTTTGAGTGTATTATCTCGGAGGCGGTAATAGGCCGCTCAACATGTATATTTAATTTATATGTATATTACATTGGTATGTTATGGAGCCAAAATTACAAAGTCAACAGTATAAACTCTCTTTGTTGTTTTTTTAACACACCTTTAAAACAAAATAAATTAAATAAATATTTATTTACTATTATATATTTTCTTGATATCTTGTTTACGCTTAAAATTCAGTGGATATCATGCATTAAATAATTAATATCCCAAAATTGTAACCTCACAGTGGTTTTGTTTGAAATTAAGAAATAAATTAATTAAAATGAATTTATTTAGATTGGAACATCAAACAGGTTGTATTTATTTGTGTCGATTAAATCAGATTTGTACTTTAAACTAGAACTGTCCAAACGGGACAAAATACCCCCGTTGGGTTTTTCCATAATGAATATATGTATCACACATAAATTATGAAATTTTTCTTCCATTGACCCTGAACTTCCCCAAATGACCTTGGGTCAAGGTCATGACAAACCCTTGAATCATGGGCAATCTTTGTGTGGAATGAGAACCTACCAAGTTTATCCATAAGAAAGATATGGACCAGACACAAATTATGAATTTTACTTTCAGTGACCTTGAACTTCCCCAAATGATCTTGAGTTAAGGACATGACACACCCTAAGGTCATGGGCAACCTTTCTGTAAATGAGAACCTACCAAAATTATCGATAAGAAAGATATGGACCGGACACATATTGTGAAATTTTACTTCCACTGACCTTGAAGTTCCCTCAATGACCTTGGGTCAAGGGCATGACATACCAATAGGCCATGGGCAATCTGTGTGAAATTAGAACCTACCAAGTTTATCCATAAGAAAGATATGGACTGGACACAAATTATGAAATTTAACTTCCAGTAACCTTGAAGTTCCCCAAATGACCTTGGGTCAAGGTCATGACACACCCTTGGGTCATGGGCAATCTTTGCATGAAATGAGAACCTACCAAGTTTATCCATAAAAAAAGATGTGGACCGGACACGAATTATGAAATTTTTTATCCAGTGACCTTGAAGTTCCCCAAATGACCTTGGGTGAAGGTCATGACACACCCTTAGGTCATGGGCAACCTTTGTATAGAGTAGTAGATTATTACGTCCCTCCGTAAGAAAGATATGGACGGGACACGTTTGCACAGACAGACAGACGGACAAGGTGATTCCTATATACCCCCAAACTTCGTTTGCGGGGGGTATAAAGATACATGCACATGCAGCTACACCCGCTAAGGAAATTCAATATCACATAGGGTCCAAACTTTCATTTTTCATTCCAAATTGAGTTGGAGATTTAGATCATTTTAAGACTTATGAATCATTATTCAGTACAACATGTAGGTACATGTAATACATTGCCCAGTATTTGTCAGTTTGTCATGCCTCATATTTTGACAATAGTATACTCATTAACAGCATAGCTACTCTGCTTGAGAAAATTCATACAGAATTTCGTAAGTTGAATCAAACTTGTATTTTAAACATGATAAATATATTTTTTAAATTCCAACAAATTTTTATCAACATGACAAAAAAAGGCAAATGTTGTCGACAAGATGGAAAAGTCTGTGCGATGATTTGATTTTTCTGTAGCTAATGAGGCGCGGATCTAGATTTTTTTCAAAGGGGGGTTGGAGAGGAAAAGTTATTATGACGTATGTTTTACATATACATGTAGTTAAATAACTCAATAGGCTACAGGATGGAGTATGTTTTTTTTTAAAAAGAGGAAGGTTGATCAACTTGGGGAAAAATCCTTGTGTGGATTACCTGAAAATTTTGAAAAAGGAAGTTAAATGAATACTGTATACAGGGTTATTTTCGCCCCGTGTTATTTTCGCCCTTTCAGGATTGAAAACAATTTTGCCCCGTTTTAAATTCGCCCAGAAGAGGGTAGGGCGAAAGGGGCGAAAATTTCCCTGTATACAGTATCCGTACACGAAAATCTTATTTTGTAAAGAAGGTGGGGTTTCATTTTATTTTCACAGCCGAATTTCTTCATATATTTCAACATCAGAATTTCAATGAATATTTCCTATTATAAAAGTAAAAACACAACAAAAATTCGGGACTTTCTTCTTTCTCTCTCTATCTCTCTTTATTGCAAATTCAAAGGGTGGTGCAACGCCCGTAACCCCCTGCCCCTCTGGATCAGCCAATGCTAGTTCTGGATATGTATATTGACTTTGGCTCATGAATCTTAGAAACTGTTGAACAATTAATAAACTCATATGAATGAGTAATTATTTTTCAATTCAGTTTATTTATTTATTTTTTTTATTCTATTCTTGAAATCTTGAATTGATATTGATTGTAACTTTCTAAATATCGCTGTCCTATACAATCCGTAGAATTCTTTTTTGTAACTTAATTTCTAGTGTGATATTTTTAAAAATGACCACTCTAAAATAAAATTCATGATTTTATTAATATTTTACCTTAGAACAATACTGGATGGAAAAGTTCAATGTGGATAAAATGGGTTGACAAGTCTCCTGAAGTCAATTTAAGTATATGTGTGTATACATATAAAATATATAGAAAACGTCATTTCTCCGAGTTAAACTACCGGTACAAAATTGTTCACATTCTACATGTTTAAAAGTACATACATACTAATAATTTAAAAACAAAATGAATTTATATCAACTTTAATATGGCTTAAAATTACGTAATACTTTCTTAAATGGCTCAAATTTTAAAGGAACCCCGACGTCATGACGTCGCAAATATGCGACGTGACGATAGCATTACCATGCTACGTTCAACAGCCTGGTGTGATGCAAATACATGTCTGTCGAAATTTTTTTCTATGAATATTTATTTTACATATCCTTAGGTTGATATTGTAAAAATTTTAGCTCATTTGAAAGAGGGCTGAATTTTTAGGGAAGTGAACCATGTTCTTTTGGAGGATATGTAATGTCTCTTCACTGTGTATTCTGTTGCCTCCGCAATAATTTCCTCATTTTGAGCATACCGCATACGGTTTGTATCTACAATTGATTTGACTGACTGTACCTTCTGCTTTCCTGTGATTTTCACATGCCCACTTTCATAAAATGTTTCAAAGAGATCATACCCTGGAGGTTTTAATTGAGTATCTGCCCAGTACGGCAAGAACAGCTGGAGTATACATTGAAAATATTTCTCTGACATTTTTTCTGCATCAAATCTTGGGTACCTAATTACAGCTGGCTTAGAACGTGTTCTCCTTTGAACAAATCCCTTTGAATTCTGCAGTTCAAACACATTTGCATTCGGAGTATTTGGTACCTGTGATTTAGCCAGTACTCTGAATTCTGAGCAAAATTCTGCCAAACACATATTCTGAAACAATGGCTCATTTGGTCGATTTGCGTACCTTTCTACAATGTTTGTCATCCATATATCGTCTTCATCATCATCATCAGAAAGTTCAATGTCCTCTTGCTTGTGTTTTCCTTTCAGCTGTGACAATGGCTTAGTCAGACGAGTAGGATTTTCACCTATAGGTACAAACACTACTTTCCTCGAGCATTCCCTCATTTTCAAATTACATACACGATAAACAGCCTCCTGTGCGCTCACTTCCCTATGATTTAAATAAGCAGAGCCAATTTTCTTCAAGGTTACACGTGCATTCTCATTTCCTTCTTCTGCCTCTATTTTGGTTTGTTTTAATACCATTCCCATTTCTCTCTCAGACTTTGAAATGTACGAAATTATGTAAACAATGCAGCTGAATGGATCCAAAACAAACTGAATATCCATATTGGCATCCTAACATTTTAAAAGGCAAGGATTGTACTGATTGGTCCAGAGTTCACATGGGTTTCTTTGAAGGACAACTGATTTCTTTTTTGAAAGTCTTTTGTGTGCTTCTTCGTA